CCAGAGGCGTAACGAACTCCGTTTCAACGCTTAATAATAATAACAACATCATTCGTTACGAGCGATCGCGTTCGCGAAACGGAGAAGACGCGAGCACAGACGTGGCGTGCCGCGAACCAACGCGGGAGAGGATCGAAAAAGCTGCATCCCTGACCTTACCCTGACTTTATCTCCGGAGATCGGGAAGCCCGGTCCCTGAAACGACGATGGGCCAAAATTATGCGCCGCTGACGAAACAAGGCGAGCAACACTTGGCGGCCGTGCCAATAACCGCGAACCGGTGTTTTCAGGAATTCGTTTCCGTTATCTTGCGTCACGCAATAGGCCCGTAGCGCGATATAGACGGCAGTTTTACATCACGAATCGTGAACGACAGACTGAATTACAGAGAACTTAAGAGCCTACGCCAATAACAGCGCGCGACGATGGACGATGGCGATGGACGGATCGTGAATTCGTAATCGTGAGTTCGTAATCGTGGGTTCGTAATCGTGTACAAGCGATCGTTTTTGGAGCGATTCGAAGCCTTGGCGGTGAATCGATCCGATTTGAGAGAATCTGGACAACTCGGATGAATCGGAGCTGCTGGCGAACGCGGCGAAGGCTCGTCGGTGCATGCACCAACTGTCCACGAGTGAAATTATAAATACATCCGCGTATAAACACTATAAATATACACGGCGATGGTATACGGAAAAGCTTGTCCGAAGCTTGTATGTATACCGTGGAAACAAGCAACGCCGTCGATCTATCAAAGCACCGATACCGTTGGAAACTCGTTAAAGAATTCCGTCGCGCCTTAGACGACCGCGGCGGGATCCAGCCAGGGATCGTCCTCGTTATTCTCTTAACAATTTATTGATCCGATCAAACGGATACTTTCCAATTTCAGGCAATCCTCGTTGATGGTTCGAAATTATCTCGAGTCGAACAATTTAGAACCGAGGCGGGTTAACGATCTCACGCGGGGTCTACTTATCTCGCGAATCGTTGAATTGTACTTTCAGAAAATGAATTACTACGGACTTTTCCAACGGTAACAATATTCGCGGATCGCGCACGCGACAGGACCCAATGTCACCGTCGCAGAGACGCTGTAACGGACATTGTCTAGTCGCGCGAGAAAGAAGGGAGCGAAGCTGGGATCGGGCCACGAGAACGTGTAACAGATGCGGAACGGTATGCAGGGAAAAAAAAAAGTAGGGACACGTACAGTAGAGACGCATATGCGAGTATGCGTCCATTATTCTCTGTAGCTTTAAAACCGGCCACGCGGTGCGTAAACGCGCGACAGGAAGTTGCCACCGCATTACCGTTGGAACTGTGAAAGTTTGCTAGCCCTCCGATCGCCTCGACGACGGATGAAAAGGAAGCAATTTCCGCGCGACTTTGCCCGTGATAAAAAAAAAAAAAAAAAAAAAAACCATTGTCTCGATTATTCTACAGCTTTCATAAACAGGTCTCTGGTATTCGGCATTAAAGGCAGAAAAAGTCGATATCTCGGTTGCTGTTGATCTCAGTGATGAAGATTTTCTTTAAATCCGATAGGAAACGAATACTATTATTTTACTATTTATTTTGTGCCGTTCGCATTCGACCGCGTGCTCCTTCGCGAATCATTAGGTGACTGTCTTTTCGTTTTCCGAAACTCAGATGTTTCGATCGATATTTCCGATAACTGTGTAGCTCGCGGTTCCAGCCGCGTAGAATAGCAACTCCTTTTTAGCCCTTTAGGGGTTGAATTTCGAGATATTCTTGTATATATCATAAAGGAAGCCTCTGTGCACAATTTCAGCTTTCTAGCTTCAAGGGTTTGGCTTGGGCGTTGATATGCCAGTGAGTCAGGGCTTTCATGATTTAAACAAAGGTCGAAAGGTGGCTTCGGAGTGTCTTCCGTACGCGCGAACGTTCGACGGTTCTGGGATCCCTTCGGTCTTTGCTAAACGAGATTTATCGCCACGGAGGATCAGAGAGAGGTACCATAGATCGTGAATCATTTCCAGCGTGAACGTGGTTGACAAACGCGAGGCGTACCCTCTTTCGTTAAGTCATGATCCAGCTGTCGAAGCTACGTTTTCAGGGTACGGCCCCACCTCCGTCATCGATCCGGTGGACGACGTGCACGGACATAATTCCACTGCGGGAGCAATAATTCCGTCCGTGAAGTTTCTGCGGGGTCGCTGAACCCCCGTACGGATTCGTCGATGTCTTCCAAATCTATTCCGAATCTACCCTGCTCCGCCCCGAGCTCAACTCGAAACGATACTAGGAAGACTAATTTGAATACTTTTCTCTTCGTACGAAACATTCTGTATGTATAAAAGATTATCCCTTCGCAGACACATGTACAAGGGGTGAGAACAGCCATTGGCTTTTCGTTGCCGAGAAAGAAATGTGTACGCGCTCTTATAACAGAAGTAACAGCGCTTGAAAATAGTTGATAGATTGGGATTATCGGTTGAATAGTTTAACGAACACTTTCGGCACGGTAACAAACGTTTCGAGCCAATGCGATCATCATTGAAGCAGCGCCAGACGATACCGTAGATACGTCCGCAAATACTGGCCGGGCTTAAATATACACGAGGGTTAAGAACGATAATGGCTATATAAATACCCAACGAGAAGATAGATCGAACATTATATTCGTCGACTTTTGCTTTATTGAAAAATGCTGATATCGATTCATCGATAGACAATAAACGCGAACGTCGGGCGTTTTGCTCGTTGCGTGCCTCGATGCTCGGTACCACGTTCAAAAATCGATCGGTTGCCAACGTATTATCGTCCAAATATGGAAGAGGGATAACGATTTCAACGAGTATTTGCGCAAAAGCGAGGCGCGATCGATCGATTCCCTCATCCTTCGACGAGCAAAATTCTCGTTTGCATAACAAATTTCGTACGAGGAATAAGATATAAGAATATCAATTATTCGGTGCGCGTATATCTGGATAACCGTACGAACTGTTTCTCGTGTCTTTATTCGTCGAAACGAGTCATCGAGCGAGAAATAAACAATTATGAAACGAAACTTTGCCCGCGTCTAATGTCAACGATTGGCTGACGCAATAGTGTTCACGACACGAGATGCGATCGTATCGCCACGTATCCGAGGAAACCTTACTATTCGCCTCGGAGTCCACGAACAATGATTGCGTAACGTAAACAAACGCTTCCAGGGTGGAAAAACGCCCGCTTGGCCGACGATCGCCGAACGCTTTTTGCGTCCGTGCTCGCGATTCTAAGAATTATAGGACCATTGAAATCGCTGACGTCACCGAACGTTCAACGACGAGCAGCAATAAAAAAAAAACTGAGAGTGGAACTATCACCGCGATTACCAGCTTCGTCGGTCTCGACTCGGATGAAAATTGAACGAGCCGATCTCGTTGGAATGGTTTCCCGATCTCGGGAAACGGCTGGGTTGGTATTAAGCAGACTAGTCGTCCAAGTTGAGTATGAGATATAAAAATGAACGACGATGTCTGTAACCATCCCCGAAGCGTACCCTAGGCGTTCGTGCAAACGGCGTTTCGTTGGTTGCGCGTCGGCGTACACCCCACGAAGTTCGTTGGTAAAAACCGGAAGCTACCCTGCGCGTACACGCAATTAGTAACCGAGCACGATCATTTATTCAGCTCGGCCCTGGGACGGAGTTGATCGTCGAGGAGTGGCGATTACCATCGCCCCGTGTCTTCTCGTCGTTATCGTCGTCGATAACTCGTTACAAGGATTACCGGGAACTCGCTCTAAACTCGAACGAAGTTTCGATAAATTGGCGGTGCGTGGGTATACATCCGCGAGACAGGGGGAGAGAGAGAGAGAGAGAGAGAGAGAGAGAGAGAGAGAGAGAGAAACACAGGACGTTAATACTGTGTTTCGAAGGGGGACGCGTGGCCGTGTGTGCGATGCAATCATATTACGCGCGACGGACGAGGAGCGGAGAGAGGGAGGAAGATCGAGGGAAAAAGAATGACGGATGAACGGGGTGAGAGAGGACAGAGAGAATGGAGAAAGGTAGAGAAGCTCCATTGATTGGTCGGTGGCACGATGGAACGTTGCAGTTGCCCCGGGGGTATATGAACCCCGGCGGTAGCGCTGTCTCGCTCTCTCTCTCTCTCTGGCTCTTTTTCTTTCACCCTCCCTCCCGTAGTTTACCCTCCCTACGATTTTACCCCACGGCGAAACGCAGGCGCGTCACATGGACCCAGGAACGATCAATACGAGCTTCCCCAACTAGCTAGACCCGGTCTTTCTCCCACTCGTCGCTTTTCTATCCTCCTCTGTTCCACTCTCCGGCTATCATCCTCCTACCAGGTCTCCCAACCCTCGGTCAATCTTTGATATTTCCAGGCCGGGAATTTTCGTCGAAATAAACCTGCAGAGAAAAAACGCGAATTTACATTCGAATTTAATTCCCTTCCCGACGCTTCGCGCCATCCACCTCTCGACCTACGCGCTATCTTTTCTAATTAGACGAATTGGATCAAGCGATTCTAGCCACCTTCGGTCGGCGATAATCGAATACACGGATTAGCGGCGACGGGCGCGAAAGGAATCGTGGAAAACGAGGCTCGAATCCTGTCCATAGATTGCGGATCTCGAAATGAAAGAAACGTGGACGCACGTACAAGTATACTTCGTGTCGCGCCACTCTTTACGTTCGAGCTGTTCGTTTAAATACCAACTATCCATCGCTCGTCATTTTTCATTTACCGAGGGGCCCACTCGTGGACCCCGAACCACGGAATTCGTTCGACTCGATCCTCCGACGGCGGTTCTTCCTGTTCGCAAGAAACGACCAAGTACAACGTTGGACGAAAGAAATACGCTGCGGGCATTCCCTCTCCCTACTGGCGGATGGAAACGAAAATCGTTACCGCGAAACATAGGAAAACGGAAGTAAGCGGTACACGTATGTACTTAAAGGCGGTGTCTCTCGAAACGTTCATCGTCATCATCGCACTATCTAACACCCCTTTATCTCTCTCACGCACCATTGTGATCGAGGCCATCATCGCGGACGAAAGCGTCCCTCTCGAGACTTCCTGCTTGTCCTCGACGAGGACCCGCAGTGCCAGTTGCTCCATCCTGGATCTGCTTGATCCTTCATGCACACTCTCGCCGCTTTCCGTCATATCCTGTTACCGAACTCATTTCGCACTCGATCGACCGTCCTTGAGACGTTTCTTTCTTTTCTTTTTTAAAACTCCCATGTGATTGGTCTTTCTTTCATTTTTTGTGGTTTCTTTGATCGGTTCGTTTGATTTTTGAATTTTTTTTTTTTTTTTTTTTTTGGTTCATTTTTTGTTATTATCATTTTTTCAGGCCGGGTTGCTCTAGAAGGAGGAAGGATCACAACTGAAAGAGACGAAAGGAACGCGACGGTGCACGATCGCGATCTCGTGGCCGCGTTGCTTTCGGCTGCCACGCCCAAAACTTCTCCGACCCGCGATACTGCGCCGTCGAAAACGTCAGCTGCTGGCACGCTGATACGTTTCCACCTCGTCTCGTCGATAATCCTGCGTTCGAAACGCGCTAAACGTCGCGCAGACACGCTCGCGATCCCTCGACCGCACAATTTACCCGCAGAAAGGATCGAAATTAAACGACGAACCAAGGAGAAATTTTCGACGGTATCGAGAACCCGTTGGGATAAAATAATAAAAATATAATATACTCTATCCAAGTATTTTCAGCAGTATTGGGAACGCGAACGTCTCCTCGGACTCCCCCACGGACTACTTCATCCTCGACGAATTACGATCATCGAAGCGGGTATCGATCGAAACTAATAAAGCAACCCCGTTTCGGCCAAGAGAGCGCGACGTGATCGGGTTTCGAGAAAGGAGAATGACGATGGCTGCCGAAAGGGATCCTTCGATTGGTCCTGTATCGAGGATGTTTCGGGGTGATGGGGGTTCAAACATATATTAATGATCGGCACCTGATAGCGCGCGCTTACCAAAAACACATAGATCTATGTACACAGAGATCGATAATTAATACTTTGCAATCATAACGGTAATAATAACAACAATAATATAACAATATAAGAATAGAACGATAATAATAATTCGAACGTCAGAAATTCACAGAAGCAACGAAAGTAAAGAAACAAATGAACATACCGGTTAACGATGAAAATCAGTGGTTGGAGGATGCCGATATCTGGGCGTAGAACGAAACGACGGTGGGTTAAGTTACTTTTCTTACTATTTTAGAATACAGGTTATCCCGTTTATTTTTTTATCTATGTTAACTAGTATCTCGTTTACCGTTAGTTTTAGAATTATTTGCTATTATTAATTCGTTTCGATGCTCGTTCGTTTTTGTGGTTAGTTTCCTTTTAAACGACGACCGTGCGTGCGCGTGCACCGTTTTCTCGTTTATCTCTCCTCGGGGCGCAACGACTTTTTACGGCGACGATTTAACCGGGTCCGAGTTCCGCGTTCACCGGTGCAATCACCCGACAGTTACCCGAGATTCCTCGAACGTGTCTCTTGCTCACTAGTTCCGTACGGCCGCGACGTCGGCGACGGTTTTTTCTTTTTTCCAGCTCGTCCGTTCGAACAATCGAGCCAAGTGTGCGGTCCACGACGTTTTTCACGCAGAAACACTTCGATTCCTTAACGTTTCCGGCTAAACGGACTGGGGAAAAAAAGAACGACGAAATCGCGGAACACACCCTCCAAGTGTCTCTTTTTCACTCCCACCGGCCGACACTAAGGCTCTCTCCTCTCTCCCTCTACCTCGCCCTTTCTCGTCCGTGCCTTTCTCTCTTTTCGTTCCGCAGGGCCTCTTCTCCCGATTAAAGGATCTTCCAGACGAGGATTCCGTTGCCTTTTGCGTCACCAGATACCGATCGCGCACCCGAGATAACGCGCCGACGTTCCGCGCGATTCGTTTCGCGTTCTTAACGCGATATCCGAGAGAAGCGTGCGCGCCCGTCGATCGAGATCGAACGATCCGTCGACTAGTCGGTTAGGGTCCAGGGGGCGAAGGGAGAAAGAAAGGGGATCGAGGAAGGGTGGTCCAGAGGGACGAACGAAATCATATAAGAATCCCGACGAAGGCGCACGTGGAACAACGTATGAACGATCCGTGGTCGGTTCGACGAAGGCGTGTATCTTCCCCGGTTGATCGATTGATTTGCTTCGATTGCTTCGTCTCTCTTTCGTCGGGCGGTTTATCGCTGGTGTCGTTTCTTGTTTTCTTTTCTTTATTTTTCTTTCGTTTAACGTTCGTTAACTCTTTTCTTACTTGTCGGTTGTTGTATTGTTTTTTTAACCCGGTTTTAGTATTGCCGTGCGATGGAACACAGACACACGGTTTTCTCGATTATATCTCGTTGACACGTGGGCGGGAGAAAGCAAGAATGATCGGTATACGGATAGATCGGTGAGGACGACGACTGGTACATGTACCAACGATACGGAACGGTAGTTTTTCTTTGAAATTTTTCTGTTTGTTTGTTTGTTTGGCTTTTTTTTTTGTTTTTGTTTTTTTTTTTTTTTTGGTCGAATTAAAGGGTTCAAGAAATGAAGACAGATGTACAAGCAAATAGTAAGAATGTTGCGGGTATAACGGTGTCTACAACGCAATGCCTTTATGTGGTGCGGTAACTAAACTGACGGAGCCAGCCACCGCCGCCAATCGCTGCACCCTCTGGCCACCGCCGCCGCCGCCGCCCCCGACGGCGCTGGTTCTGGCCAGGCTCGCAGGGGTGGGAGTCGCGAGGGAGGAACGGAAGCAGAAGGAAGAGACAAAGACGGCGAACGATGGAGAGCGAGACGGGAAACGCGACGTTGGAATGCACGCAGGCGCCGGGGAGAGGCAACGACTGCACCCACCGCCCTGTCGCGATCGCTGAACGCCGTCGGGTGGGGGCGGACGATGACGAGAAATGGGGGGAGAAAAAATATAGAGGGAGAAGACGGAAAAAGCTGCGGCGTCGGAAGAAAAATGGAAATCTCGCGAAAGGGGGTTGCGCGGAGGGTGCGCAAGCGCAGCGAATCGAAGAACCCGAAGGCAATGACTGCATCTTCCGGATGCCACCGCCATGGTTGACCGTTCGCTCGGCGGTCGAGGGGGGTTGGTGAATCGGGCCGCAGAGAGGGATGAGAACGGAGAAAAGTCGCGGCCGGGGACGTCGGTGTCTGCGCAGACGCCGGACCGTTGAAGGCTGCGACCCCTTCGAAATCGTCGTGACGTTAACACGTTGGGCGCGGTGGAAACGATGACGAAAATCCGTCGGGCGTTTCCGTTCCGGTCTCCTCGAATTCGGGAAACGACCGCTTCATCGTTACCGGCGCAAGACCCACACGACGCTGGTATACGCGTCGTTGGATCGTCTCCAGCAAAACCTGACTCGGTTCATTCTAACTCTTTATTTACTGAATTTTTTTAAAGTTTTTAAAATCTAGGCGTCCGTCTTGGTCTCGTATCACCGTCTAGAGTTGTCTCCAACAAACTTCCGAAAGAAACAAAACTTGAACTTCAGAGACGTGGAGTTGAAATTCAGAATAGATTTCAAATTAATACAGTATCATGAGAAAATCGGCAATAAATAAAGGGTTAGAATGAGACGAGTCGTTCGTCGGGGGAATTCTCGAGCAAATAAATGAAGGGAGATAGAAATGACATAAATAATAAGTAACGTCTAGAAGCAAAGGACGTACACGGTGCAAGAGCAATCGTATCGGTGCACGTGACCGTATCAGTTTCGTTGGAGTCCGGAAAGAACGTTACAGGTCAACTTGGTCCCACGAACGAAAGGGAACTGGAAGAGCCTAAGGATAATTGGAACGCGAGTGCATCAAACGAAGAAGGGATTGCCGAGCTCCAGTGAATCTCTGGCCTGTGTCCGTCAGCTGAAGAGAGAATACGGAGTCGAGGGCGATTGCGAAATACGCACGCGCCGACGAAGGGTCGTAAACAATGGCTGCTCTCCTAGGAGACCCTCGGAACCTTGCAGCCACCGATACCGATTGAAGGGATGCCCGCCAAGAACAGAAAGGAGACAAAGGCCGACCCGCCGGTCGAGTAACCGCGGAGGGAGGCGAACGGCTTGAAAGCCGGCCAAGAAAACCGACGAATTAAGGGGTTGGAGGGGTGGACGTTGTACACCATAGCGGTAAGTCGTTGGCATACAGGTGGCAGAAGATCGAGTTCGTAGTAAATTACGAGGGAGAAATTTCGTGTTAAATTTCCAGGTTCGATCGTTCGGACAGTCGCGAGAAACACGGAGACGGTTCGAGCAAACGAATATCAGAGGTCCTCGACTCGCTCGTCTGAAAAATTGATGGCAACCCCGTCGATAGAAAAACGCGAGGTAGACGTCGTTAAACCGGAGAGACGACAAATTTAACGCGAAAATATTATTCGACTATTCCGACGGAGGTTCTCGTCTCCGAGAGACGGAGAGGTTGGATTGGAGAGAGAGGTAGAGAGAGATGTATCGCCTACCCCTAGACGCGGGGGAGCGTGCACGCGCGCAGGGTCGAAACGAAGGGAGGAAATTCAGGTTCCACGAGCGGACGAAAGAGAGGAGAGCTCGAGGAAAAGGGGAAACGGGAGAGAGGAGCGGGTTGGCGAACGCGAGAACGCAGGCGCCGCGTTGAAAACGGAAACCTCTCGTCCCAGGGGTTCACCTCCCTCCAACGGAAGAGCTTTTCGACCGCGCGAATGCGGCCAAATATTCCCCGTGCCTTTACCGCACGTCGTCCACACGCGCCCCTCCCTCCCCCTTTTAACGCGCGCGGATATTCGCGAAATTTTCCGGAGAGTTACGCTCGAACCCGTATTCGGAAAATCCGCTATTGTCGGGTTTCACCGGGACCGTAATCGTTTTGACTTTTTCACTTGCAGTCGCCCTGTACTTCCTTTGTTCCCCCCCATCCTCGGATCGTTTCTTCCTTTTTTTTTTGTCTGTCGCGGGTATAAAAACTGTTAGGGGGCACCGCGATCGAAGGGTCCTTTCGAACCCTCGGTTACCTGAAGGATCGCGCATTCATCGACGAATATTGTAACGCTACCCTTGCTGGAGTCTTGAGCGAACACGTGCCACATAAATGGATCGGACAACGGTTAATATATACCGCAATATACGAACGACGAAAGGAAAATTAATTAAACGAGGAACGCGATTGTATTTTAATTAAAGTACGCGACGTTCGCGTGGACTCGAGAAGAGCAATCCTTATCCAACCCGAGTTGAAAAACACAGCAAAATTGTAAATTGCTCGGTGGGATCGTGTGTTTTAAAAGATATCGAACGAACAGAAATATGATCGAGTTTGCACGAGGTACAGTCAGACCTGTAAATATTCGTACCATCTATGTGTTAAAGAAATTTGTCCAAAGTATACGATAGGTTTGACGGTTCCATATAAATTTTTCGATTGAACACGTTGACGCCGACTTGCATGACTGGTAGGTCGTTCGTGTCTGCTCCGCGCGGCGGTGCGAACCACCGGTGGGTCACGCGCGTTATGCCGAACAATGCGACCTGATACCGCGCCGCCCCACCACGCGGACACTGAAATCGAGCGCCGCCGCGCGGTGCAGCATCGAAAAACCGCTGCTGGCGTCAACGTGTTCAACTACTGGAAACTACATTATCGCACATTTATCGTAATTTCTTCCCTTTGACGAGTGACTTTTAGAATTCACTTTCTTAGTTGAATGAGTTTAGCGAAATTACTCGTGAATCCTGGCCAGATGTAAAGGTGCCCGAGTCCTCGATGTCCTTGGTCTGGGTTAGGTCCGAGTCTGTGTTAAACATGTGCACGCGTAAAGTTTGTACGTCTCTATAACAAGGTATAACAAGGTGCGAAGGCCTTCGATGCCATTCCTGCGACGACGCTTCACTTTTCTCCATAGTTAATTCTCCTCGTCGCGAACGCGCCTTTTCGCGGCGAGAAAATAACAACAAGCCGTTGATTATCGGCTATCTTATCGACGATCGTCGAATCCGAACGAGAAGAGGCGACGATCGATACGTGTACGCGTACGCGTACGAATATCGTTTCCACGCGTTACTGCTCGCACGAGTTAACGAACGGGCCTCGCTAATGACTCGAGTATGTATCGCGGACGCGAATCGATCACCGCGGGAGAAATAATTGGTCGGCTCGATGCCACCCGTTATGTTTGCATTACGAGATACAAGATACGCGGATGAAAAAGCCGCGCCGAGAAAAGAGCCGCCCAGAAGGGGGTCGAAAGAAAGCAAACCGGTAGAGGGGACGGGGAGAGAAAGAGAGAGAGAGAGAGAGAGAGAGAAAGAGCGAAAAAATGAGGGGATGATAATCTAATGGTAAATAGCATGCATACAAGGACAGAAGGGAGCAAGGGCGTAGACAGCGAAAAGTCAAACGAGTCGCGCAGGCTCCGATAAAATATGACTTTCGGGATGTATTATGCGTATGTATAACTCGCTATGCAAGTTATACATACGCATACGGATGTAAGCTCGTTGAACAAATTATTAAAAATAAGAATATTTATTCATAGAGCGGGAGGGGGGAGAGGGGGGGGGGATTTCATCTTATATCCTTGCATTGCACAATAAAGGGGTTGAATAGAAATAAAAATTGAACGAATCAAAGCGCAACCGAACACGAAAACGTATGTACGTTATCAACGATAATACACGGACAATACACGACGTTGATTAGCACCTACGCCTCCAAAATTTCTGTTCGTCTTCAACGTACGTTCCGTTTTCGCGTGGTAAGGCACGAAACCCCGGTTAAATAAATAAAGAAAAATGCAAATCAGCCGGGCTGAAATATATATATATTCCCGTGGCTCGATCAAAGTCGCGACGATAAAAAGACAGGCCAGACAGTCTCAGCAGGGGCCGGCGGCGAAGGGATGCCGCGTAAATCCCGAATCCCGTCTCGGGCAATTTATAACACTCCTCCTCTTTGTCCCGAACTTCCGTTCCGTCGAGTATCCTGGGAACAGGGAGCACCTAGCCCAATTGCCCCCTCTTCCTACGCCATTGGCCGTGTGGGGCGGCGGGAGAGGAGCTCGGTGCCTAACGGCACAGGGGTTTCGAATATCGATCTCTCGCGTTCGCTCTCCCAGTCGTTCGCTCTCGCGTTCGGATCCGGTTGGCTCTCTCTCTCTCTCTCTCTCCTGGGTTCGCGACGGCCGCGAGGGGTGGGAGAGGACAGAGACGGGAAGGGTTCACCAGGAAGTCCCAGCCAAAGCCCAGGAGCGGAGGACATTCACCGGCGAACGAGCAAACACACGCCTATCCGCGAAACTTGCCCGGAGATCGCTCTCCAGTCCGAAACTTTTTACAACCTGACTCGATTTTCGGCTCTCGTGCCTCCCCGGACCCGGGGGAGCGCTTCCGCACACCCTCGAGGCCGCGGAGAACTACCCGCGCTCCGAAACGATGGAGGGTTTCTCGAATTTTGATATAAAAAAAAAAAGTATAGGATGGAAACAAAATCTAGCGAGTCCAAGTCTTTTGAAAATTAAACAGAAAGCGTTGGATCATGACTGAGAAAAATCAATCGTAACCTGGTATCCAGGACGCGCGAAGAGGTGTATACGTTACGGTGAACGTGATAAACTGGGGATTATGCATAATCTCCGCTAAAGTTGGCGAACGTGATAAATTCTGGAATATTTATCAAATTCACCGGTGATTTCATATAATCTCCGACTCGTAATGGGGAATGTGATAAATGCACTCGAATCCGTCTACTTTCGAACTGCTCCCCAATCGAAAAATGGTATTGCAATTCCAGGTTGGTTTAGAGGAGCGAAACTTCGCAGGCTCTATCTCCAGGAATTATGCAGGTTCATCGATCAATCGTCGCGGTCGGTTAACAGTGTTAACTTAACACGGTTACGCGTTCTCCCGAAACTGGTAGAACTATCCGGGAAAGTATCCTCCGGGGGCCTCGCAGGCTCGCAACCAAGTTTCCATAATTCCATCCCTTCTCGCATCCGGCGCGCCGTAGCTGCGCTTGCTCATCCGGGAGCGCAGCCTGGCCAAAGATAGATGTGCGCGAGTCAGGCTCGTTTCGCGTGTTCCCTTGGTGCACGGAACGTCGCGTGAACCCGGGAACGAGGCTGCACACGTGCACCTAGCCGCACCCGTGCACCTCTGCACCCTGACAATCGACCGGTCGTTACGCGCGCGGATTACGCGGTTCCCGCTCCGCGTATTAAACACACGCTGCCCTCGTTAGCAGTTTTCGGTCCAACGAAATTGCGAGCTTTCCGTGCAAATTGAATTAAACGCTTCCCGGGAGGGTGGCCGCGGAAAATGGTACAACTGGAAACAACCCGGCTCGATCCCGCGAACGTCGACCCTATGCAACAACTCCAAATAATTTACGTACGAGCTCTTTTTATTCGGTCTGGGTGTCGACGTTCGTCTCGATCGAGCCGGGATACAACGAACGTTATTTTTTCTATGGAAGTTGAGCAAGGGAAACACCATCCTGTATAGATTCGAGATCGATAACGTTCGTAGCGAAAACAATTGAAATCGTTACTCCCCGACGGACAAGCCCTCGTCCTTCGCAACGTTGAGAATGAAAAAATAAATACAGGACGATCGAGTAACGCTACACATTTCGATAACAGAGCAAACACGTCTCTGCGCAAACATTTGCCAAGAAGGACGACCGTTGGCTCGTCCAGCCCGGTTAATGGATTCTATGGAGCTTATTGGGTTACACAATTCGGGGATAACATGTTTCGGCTTTCACCGTGTCGGGGTACACGTTGTCGCTTTAAGTTTTTAACGTTCGAATTGTCCCGCGGTTCGTGTTCCCACAGGCCGGCCCACCAGAAACAGGACACCTCGACATGGTCGGTATATTAAGTAATAGGAAAAAGCGCGCGGCTTCGAACGTCGTTTTTAAATGAAATTTAATGGCTTCGAGAGAAAGAAGCATCGGCATTCGACCATTTAATTAAGAAAAACTAACCCGATATTTCCCCAAATTGAGTTGTTCCAACGGGAACGATAATGTACCGCTGATCTTTCTTCGTAATTTAGCCCGTCTAGACCGCCTGAAACTCCTCTAATATCGAGGTTGGTTCTATCGAGGCTCGTTAGGTGTTGTAATGGTACGATGAACCTGCACGAC